TGTGGCAATACTGTACTGGTGTAAACCCAGGTAATACTGTACTGGTAAGTTGTAAACCCCAGGCAATACCGTACCGGTGTTGTGAACTTGTGGCAATACTGTACTGGTGTTGTAAACCCAGGCAATACTGCACTGGCGTAAACTTGTGGCAATAATTGCAATTGGTGTTGTAAACCCAGGCAATACTGTACTGGTGTTGTGAACTTGTGGCACACTGCACTGGTGTTGTAAACTTGTGGCAATACTCGCTGTACCGGTGTTGTAAACTCTGTGGCAATACCGTACTGGTGTTGTAAACTTGTGGCAATACTGTACTGGCGGTGTTGTGAACTCTGTGGCAATACTGGTACCGGTGTTGTGAACTTCAGGCAATACTGCACTGGTGTTGGTGGAAACTTGTGGCAATACTGCACTGGTGTAAACTGCACATACTGTACTGGTGTTGTAACCCAGGCAATACTGTACTGGTAAGCCAGAACTTCAGGCAATACTGTACCGGTGTGTTGTAAACTCAGGCACCGGTACCGGTGTAAACCTGTGGCAATACCGTACTGGTGTTGTAAACCTGTGGCAATACTGCAATTGGTGTTGTAAACTCTGTGGCAATACTGTACTGGTGTTGTAACCAGGCAATACTGTACTGGTGTTGCAACCGCATGCCCACTGGTGTTGTAAACTCAGGCAATACTGTCATGCCGTAAACTTGTGGCAATACTGTACTGGTGTTGTAAACCGCAGGCAATACTGTACTGGTGTTGTAAACTTGTGGCAATACCGTACTGGTGTCGCAACCTGTGGCAATACTGTACTGGTGTTGTAAACTTGTGGCAATACTCGTACCGGTGTAAACTCAGGCAATACTCGTACTGGTGTTGCAAACTCAGGCAATACTGTACTGGTAAACTTGTGGCAATACTGTACTGGTGTTGTAAACTTGTGGCAATACTGTACTGGTGTTGTAAACCCCAGGCAATACCGTACTGGTGTTGTAAACTTGTGGCAATACTGTACCGGTGTTGTGAACTCTGTAACACTGTACTGGTGTTGTAAACTCAGGCAATACCTCGTACTGGTGTTGTAAACTTGTGGCAATACTGTACCGGTGTTGTAAACTTGTGGCAATACTGTACCGGTGTTGTAAACCTTGTGGCAATAATACTGTACTGGTGTTGTAAACTGTGGCAATACTGTACTGGTGTTGTACACTTGTGGCAATACTGTACTGGTGTCAGAACTTGTGGCAATAATTAAAATTGGCGTTGTAAACTTCAGGCAATACTGTACTGGTGTAAACTCAGGCAATACTGTACTGGTGTTGTAAATTTGCTGCAATACTGTACTGGTGTTGTAAACTGGTGGCAATACTGTACTGGTAGTTGTAAACTCAGGCACACTGTACTGGTGTTGTGAACTTGTGGCAATACTGTAATTGGTGTTGTAAACTTGTGGCAATACTGTACCGGTGTTGTAAACCTTGTGGCAATACTCAGTACTGGTGTTGTAAACTTGTGGCAATACTGTACTGGTGTTGTGAACTTGTGGCAATACTGTACTGCGTTGTAAACTTGTGGCACACTGTACTGGTGTTGTAAACTTGTGGCAATACTGTACCGGTAAGTTGTGAACTTGTGGCAATACTGGGTACTGGTGTAAACTTCAGGCAATACTGTACCGGTGTTAGAACTTCAGGCAATACTGTACTGGTGTTGTAAACTTCAGGCAATACTGGGTACTGGTGTTGTAAACCAGGCAATACTCGTACTGGTGTTGTAAATCCCAGCAATACTAACCCGTGGCAATACTGCACTGGTGTTGTAAACCTGTAAGCAATACTGTACTGGTGTAAACTTGTGGCAATACTGTAAATTGGTGTTGTAAACTTCAGGCAATACTGCACTGGTGTTGTAAACCCAGGCAATACTGTACTGGTGTTGTAAACTTGTGGCAATACTGTACTGGTGTAAACTTGTGGCAATACTGTACTGGTGTTGTAAACTTGTGGCAATACTGTACTGGTGTAAACTTGTGGCAATACTGTACTGGTGTTGTGAACTTGTGGCAATACTGTACTGGTGTTGTAAACTTGTGGCAATACTGTACTGGTGTTGCAAACTTGTGGCAATACTGTACTGGCGTAAACTTGTGGCAATACTGTACTGGTGTTGCAAACTTGTGGCAATACTGTACTGGTGTTGTGAACTTGTGGCAATACTGTACTGGTGTTGTAAACTTGTGGCAATACTGGTGTCTACTTTATAAAGCTGAGTGAGCATGTAACAAGAGGTTAAGGTCTACAATAAGCCAACTTTCAGCCCAGACACAGTGTCCTAGCCTGTACACTGTATGTTTATTACACCATTTATCATAATATAATAACGACACCTGGGACATTTACCTGAGTGCTGTCACAGTCGGTCACTTCCCCGTCATGACTAACGGTACTTTCGGGACCCCTTGGTACCGCAGGCAGTGGATCGGGCCCCGAGTCTGTCCGAGTCTCAGCACCCAATTCAGCTGATGCTAATTGAGCAGGGGAGACAATCCCAGGAGTTGGTGATGTCACAATACTGTTAGTCTTGCCAAGTCCTGCTGTTTGATCTCTTCCTCTTTTGGGTTCATTATATGATTCCTTACTCGCTTTGGTTGGGGATGAGCCGCGCGGACAAGTCTTAACCTCAGCTTTGGAATATGGAGGGACCTCATCATTCTGTTTTCTGCGCTTCACCTCCCAGTTGTCCTCCTTCTGCGGGAGGCTCCTCTTGCCGTCGACACCTTCCTTTCTGGTAATTGTGTCTGTAGGTTCTGCCAAGCCTTTGATCTTGAGGCGCTCGGCAGCCTTCATGAACCCCGACAGATCGCTCTGTAAGACGTTGACCTCGCCTATATACATGTAGTCCAAGAGGGTCTCTAAGTCTTCACGTTGTATATCTGCCAACACGATCATGAGGTGTTGCTTGTCTGCCACTTCAAACATACGTTCAAAGTATTCACTGCAGGTGGAGAGAACCAGCCTGTGAACAGGATAGAACCGTCCATCACAGGCTATGGTGGCATCACAGTAAACCTCCTGCAATGCATTAAACAGAAATTAGTAAAAAAAGAATACCAATTATCATCAATCATCACAGGTAAATGCTAAGAAAAATAGTATGGCACACAGCAGGTATCCTATACACCTTTACACAATATAGTAGTAAATCCTCCTACAAGTTAACACCTTAACCAACTACTGTACATGTCCACTATAACTGTCAGTCTCTGTCTACCTCAACATAATGGCCAATCATTCACTCTTAATAAATCATCAACCCTTTGGAATTATTACAATACTTAAAGTTCATAACTTTCTGAGAAGCCCGCAGCACCCAAAAACCAGTCACCACCAGGGATGGGGTCAATTCTGTTTTGTCAATTCTAATTCTAACAAAATACAAATTTGCCAATTTCAACTCAATTCAAATCATTTATTAAAAAAAAATCACCAATTCCAATTAAATTCATATGCTTTCCAAATCCAATTCAATGACAGTATTTAATTTTCAGATAATTTTTTTCTTCATAATAACCATTTTATTTCCCTACAAGTTGACAACATACACTACAGTTGTTTACACCTTGATCACAACTACACAGCCCACAACTTTTAACCACATTCTCAACCACATTTTGACTTGGGTTTATATATTAATTCCTTTTTTAATAGTTCTCACACTTGGCAAATTGATCAATATAGTATTAGTCTGCATTTAGTCGGTAAGATATTAAATGTGTTATATGGGATTCCCACATTAAACAATGTACTGAACCTTGTTACTTGTAAACATTCAACAGGTTTCACACATAAGACAAGTTGAACAAACTTTGAATAATATCAATAGAGGTCCTGTACCATACTGTATGTTGGCCACATCAAAATACACATTTTATTATTTTGATATAACATTAATTCCAATTAAATTCACTTTAAAAATTGTTTCCTTCAATTCCAAACCAACTCATAATTGACGCCATCCCTGGTTACCATCCAGCAGAAGAAACATTCGGAAATACTTCTTCACACAGAGGCTGATACAACTACCGGTAGGGCACCTCTAGTGGGTGACCATTAGCTAAGTACAGTACAGTCATTTCTGCTACAAAACGCGTTTTTTTTTAACGCGAATTGGTTGCAATGCAATTGATGAATCGGGGAACGCTGTTTGTAAAACGATAAACATTGGCATACGAATGTTGGCTATAGCACGATTCCATCCTCAATGTCTTAAGCGTGGCGCGGGGTTATGCAATGTTTACAGTTCATGTTAGACATCACATGTTCAATTGAGTCGTGTCTTTTGTTTGTGAAGTGTTTTTTGAGAGGTTCTGTACTCTATAAATTTTGTTAATTTTTTGCAAATTTATCTGTTACATAAATACTTTATGGAAATAATTGGTAAAAAGAATGTTTGGCACCGAGAACTAATAACGGTTTACACCAGCGTTCTCTGTTTACATCAGGTGAAGTGTCCTCCGTGATTTTCGCTGTTTTCTCCAAGTTGTTGTGTTAGCCGTGAATATGGAAAGACGAGGGAAGAAGGTGGTGAATGTAAAAGAAAGGCTGTAACACTATTGCTGGAACAAGCTTGAGTGATAGCAAATCTGTGATATCACAGCCAAAGTAATATGCACCTAACCCTATTTTCTCCATATGCCGTTATATTTATTGCGCGAATTTCTACAACGCGAAGTTTAAAAAGAACGCAACTATTGCGTTGTAGCACAAACGACTGTATGGCAATTAAAATAAGGTTAAATCATATGTAGATCATAGAACCCTTCCAACAGTTACAAATAAGTGAAACAACAGGAGACAAAAGGTTCTCAGTACCAACTAAACTTATCAAACTTACTTTTTTTCTAACAGATGAGAGCATGCGGAAGAATGTGGAGCGGTGATCTCTCCACTTGAGGCATAAGAGTCCACCATCCATGTTGTCTAACTGACCACACCCCTACAAACAATACAATTATAATAAAGACACAAATAATAATAATAATAAGACAATGTTCAGATACCTTGGCAGATTACATACCCCAGCATATTTTACTTAAACATTAACCATCTAAATGCTACCTGGGGGAGGTAAGCTGTGGGGCTATTGTATCCTCAGGTGATCCCAGTACAGTACAGCTTGAAGCTTCCATATCCAGCGTTCTAACATACAGTACAGCTTATTCCTTCACCCGATAAACCTCCTAAAGAATGGAGCGCTTGGATGGTAACGCGAACAAAAATCCTTCTACCCGGCAAACCTCCCATTGAGCGGCAGCATCTCATAGTTTTGCCAGTCGGCCGCCTAATGTTTTGGAGGCCCACCGATCGTTGCTGCCATTCACTGGATTTATTTAAATTCATAGCTGAAGATAGTGGTGTGTTTATTTAAGTGTTAGTTTTATTCTACCCTTATTGACCTAAACCATTATTATACAAGTTTGTGTTTACTAAACCTAAATCACAAGAAATACAGTTATGTTGAGTACAGTACAGTACAGTATCTGCCTCAGAGCTGGTCTCCTTATGGGAACTTCACACATCTGCCCCCACAAGAAATGTCCAGTTAGGTTGTGCATTATGCTAGGTTAGGTTTACATTATGCTAGGTAAAGTTTACATTATGTTAGGTAAAGTTTACATTATGCTAGGTAAAGTTTACATTATGCTAGGTAAAGTTTACATTATGCTAGGTTAAGTTTACATTATGCTAGGTAAAGTTTACATTATGTTAGGTAAAGTTTACATTATGCTAGGTAAAGTTTACATTATGCTAGGTAAAGTTTACATTATGCTAGGTCAAGTTTACATTATGCTAGGTAAAGTTTACATTATGCTAGGTAAAGTTTACATTATGCTAGGTAAAGTTTACATTATGCTAGGTAAAGTTTACATTATGCTAGGTCAAGTTTACATTACGCCAGGTTAAGTTTACATTATGCTAGATTAGTTTACATTATGCTAGGTAAAGTTTACATTATGCTAGGTCAACTTTACATTATGCTAGGTAAAGTTTACATTATGCTAGGTAAAGTTTACATAATGCTAGGTTAGGTTCACATTATGCTAGGTAAAGTTTACATTATGCTTGGTAAAGTTTACATAATGCTAGGTTAGGTTCACATTATGCTAGGTAAAGTTTACATTATGCTAGGTCAAGTTTACATTACGCCAGGTTAAGTTTACATTATGCTAGATTAGTTTACATTATGCTAGGTAAAGTTTACATTATGCTAGGTCAACTTTACATTATGCTAGGTAAAGTTTACATTATGCTAGGTAAAGTTTACATAATGCTAGGTTAGGTTCACATTATGCTAGGTAAAGTTTACATTATGCTTGGTAAAGTTTACATTTAGCTAGGTTATGTATACATTATGCTAGGCTAAGTTTACATTAAGCTAGGTTATGTATACATTATGCTAGGCTAAGTTTACATTAAGCTAGGTTATGTATACATTATGCTAGGCTAAGTTTACATTAAGCTAGGTTATGTATACATTATGCTAGGTTAAGTTTTACATTTAGTCAGGTTAAGTTAGGTGATAAAATAGTTTTCTGCCCAACTGCATTTGTATATCTATGTAACGAAACAAAAATCCCAAGATAGTTCTATACCTTTATCTTTATCATCTGTGCCACTGAGAGGCCTGTTAGCCACTTGGGTGGTCAGCCATGTCTGTTACACACTGTTGGCAAGTACTGGCACTGTTACACACTGTTGGCAAGTACTGGCTCTCTGTTACACACTGTTGGCAAGTACTGGCTCTCTGTTACACACTGTTGGCAAGTACTGGCTCTCTGTTACACACTGTTGGTAAGTACTGGCTCTGTTACACACTGTTGGCAAGTACTGGCTCTCTGTTACACACTGTTGGCAAGTACTGGCTCTCTGTTACACACTGTTGGCAAGTACTGGCTCTCTGTTACACACTGTTGGCAAGTACTGGCTCTCTATTACACACTGTTGGCAAGTACTGGCTCTCTGTGTTACACACACTGTTGGTACTGGCTCTAGTACACTGTTGGTAAGTACTGGCTCTCTGTTAAACACTGTGCGTAAGTACTGGCTCCTCTATTACACACTGTTGGCAAGTACTGGCTCTCTGTTACACACTGTTAGCAAGTACTGGCTCTCTGTTACACCTGTTGGCAAGTACTGGCTCTCTGTTACACACTGTTGGCAAGTACTGGCACTGTTACACACTGTTGGCAAGTACTGGCTCTCTGTTACACACTGTTGGCAAGTACTGGCTCTCTGTTACACACTGTTGTAAGTACTGGCTCTCCTGTTACACACTGTTGTAAGTACTGGCTCTCTATTACACTGTTGGCAAGTACTGGCTCTCTGTTACACACTGTTGGCAAGTACTAGTCTCTACTACACTGTTGGTAAGTACTGGCTCTCTGTTAAACACTGTGCGTAGTACTGGCTCTATTCCACACTGTTGGCAAGTACTGGCTCTCTGTTACACACTGTTAGCAAGTACTGGCTCTCTATTTACACTGTTGTAAGTACTGGCTCTCTATTACACACTGTTGGCAAGTACTGGCACTGTTACACACTGTTGGCAAGTACTGGCTCTCTGTTACACACTGTTGGCAAGTACTGGCTCTCTGTTACACACTGTTGGTAAGTACTGGCTCCAGAATCTATCTGTACCCATGCCTTGACATTTTTCTGATCTTGTGGCTTCTTCATTCATAAGCTTTTTTTTAGCCTCTAGTGGCTTCTTTGACGTTAAGCTGTGACCTCTAGTGGCTTCTTTGACCTAAGCTGTGACCTCTAGTGGCTTTGGCTGTGACCTCTACTTCTTTGACCTAGCTGTGACCTCTAGTGGCTTCTTTGACCTAAGCTGTGACCTCTAGTGGCTTTGCTTTGACTAAGCTGTGACCTCTAGTGGCTTCTTTGACCTAAGCGCTGTGACCTCCTAGTGGCTTCTTTCACCTAGCTGTGACCTCCTAGTGGCTTCTTTGACCTAGCTGTGACCTCTGGTAGCTTCTTTGGCCTAAAGCTGTGACCTCTAGTAGCTTCTTTAACTAGCTGTGACCTCTAGTGGCTTCTTTGACCTAAGTTGTGACCTGTCATGCCTTCTTTGACCCTAAGCTGTGATCTCCAGTGGCTTCTTTGACCTAAGCTGTGACCTCCAGTGGCTTCTTTGACCTAAGTTGTGACCTGTCATGCCTTCTTTGACCCTAAGCTGTGATCTCCAGTGGCTTCTTTGACCTAAGCTGTGACCTCTAGTGGCTTCTTTAACCCTAAGCTGTGACCTCTAGTGGCTTCTTTGACCTAAGTTGTGACCTGTCATGCCTTGTTTGACCCTAAGCTGTGATCTCCAGTGGCTTCTTTGACCTAAGCTGTGACCTCCAGTGGCTTCTTTGACCTAAGTTGTGACCTGTCATGCCTTCTTTGACCCTAAGCTGTGACCTCTAGTGGCTTCTTTGACCTTAAACTACCTCACTCTTTATCTAAGAATTACTCCAAACAGGAAACAGTGAGGGACCTTTAAGACGTATTTTCTGTGTTAGCTATATACTAATTCTTCCTCAGATGTTTTAGTAGTGGCGATTTAAGCTAAAGCCAGATATCTAACTGTACAATTCAGAGTTAGTTTACGTTTCAACACAGCTTATAACACTGCAACACACTATAGGAAAATAACAGTAATAAGGTGTAACGTAGATAATCCCTCATTGAAAAAAATACATGAGCCGAAAATAAACATAACAGACGTAACTATGTGGTAAAGGAAATTCTAAACGGGTATAAATTATAAACATATGGCTGTGATGTGCATAATAAAGTTATTTGCCTCAATAGTACCGTATTAAGGTGGTGTATTAAAGACTCTCCCTACCTTAGCTCCGATAGCGTCCTTTATTACTAGAGGCAAAATTTTCCTCAGCAGCAGGAGGAGAATTGTATCATGACGTCACTAAGGTGATGACGTCATGAATATTTTATATTTATAATCCTTAAAGTTTATTATTATTATTTTATATATGATTTAATGACTGGTATCAATCAATATACTTATTAATTATTATTATATGGTAACATTATAGATAAATGAGTGTTATAACACCAATCACTTTCCTTGATTTATGATAGTTATTGCCTGATGTCTGAACTAACTTAGATCAGGTACAGTACTTAATTAACCCTTTAAGGATTAGTGTCCCGACCACACATTTGCTATTAAACTTTTTACTTTTTTTCTTTTATCCTCTTCACCACTGATCGGCTCGTTAACCGCTTGGTCGGTCGGTCACGTCTCTGTCACACACTGTTGGCAAGTACCGGGCATGCACCGGCTCCTGAATGTACCTGAACCCGCTCCAGTGTTGGTCAAGTCTGGTCTTGAAAGAGCTCACACTCGGTGCCGTCACAACACTCTCTGGTAGATTGTTCCAAGAGTTCACAACTCTCACTCCGAAAAAGTTTGCCCTCACAGTTTTCTGGACTTGCGGCTTCTTCAATCTTGAGCTGTGACCCCTTGTGGGGCGAGCGTCCTCCAGCTCCAAGTAAGGACACTCACCTGAGTAGTGCCCCTGAGATGCTTATACCCCTCAACTAGGTCCCCCCTTGCCCGTCTGTAGTATAAGCTAGGCAAGTTCAGGCGCTCCAATCTCTCAGGGTAGCTGAGGTGCCGAAGTGCAGGCACCAGTAATAATGGTGCTAAAAGGAGCTATGTAAGAGTATTATGTGTGTTCTTGTACATGTACACCCAGTCATGATGTAAGTGGAGAATGTACCCAAGTTTAACAGTACAAAATAAGTAAAGCCAGGGAGTTTACCCCTGTAGTTGAGTGGTGCTGAAATTATTATTAAAATATAACTTCATTTTAATAAACCATTTTATAATTTTAATAAACCATTTTATTTGTATGTTAGGAGTATCCTTTACCTGCAGTATTTTGCCGTCATTCTTTCCCACTGCTTGATACAAGAATTACAATGTACCCACGTGTCATAACCCTCGAGCCAAGCTACCAAAGGTCAGAGGTTATGGAGTAACTATATGAAATGAAATAACTAGACAAAACTAATGGAGAAAATAAATGAAGTAAGAAATTAAGAGAAAACCAAGTCAAAGAGTTTAAAAGTTAACTACCATGGTATACATTAAAAAGAAAAGAAAAGGAGAAACGCAGCTCTTATATTGGGTATATATTTATCGATCAAATGGGTCACTTTACTAGCTATGATATTCAGCGCAGTGTCTAAATGGCCTAAATGGGTCAGGCCAGTGGATACCCCTCATCTCTTCCCTCATCCCGTTGTAATTTCCCTGTAATATTTGCACCTTGGCCTGGCCTTATCTTGAACTAGGCAACAGTTAAATCTGAATGACCGATCGCCCAAGCGGCTAACGAGCCGATCAGTGGTGAAGAGGATAAAAGTAAAATGTATAATCATCTTCGCACTGATGATCATAAGAGGTTGGCAATAGATTACTCCCAAACTATTAACCACTTCACCTTACATGATAAGTGAGATAGTCAGGTATGGTGTTTTCACTAAGTTGAACCTTCACAGTGCTTACCATCAAGTAAGAAGACGGGGGAATAATTATGTGATTAAAGAACATAGCCCACAATTTTCTAAGTTTAAGTTTAATTTGTGGTTACAGTTATATTTGTTTTATAAACAACATTGACAGGAAAGCTGCCTCACGGACAGGAGCTTCCACATTGTATCAGAACCTTGATAGTGTAGTGGATTCCTCCCCTACAAACGCTTGTCGCTGAGTAGCCGACCCCGCAAATTCCCCAGTGTATGCCTCGTGGTCTGGGTCAACCAGCGCTGCCTTACATGACGGAGGTCAACTATTAAGCCATGCCTACCTCCGCTATATAAAACCTGACCTCGTGGTGACCTACCTCTCTCTTTCTACCTACAGCTGCATCAAGCCACCTCCTCCTCCTCCTGCCTGGCGGCCCTCGCTCCCGCCGGCGAGCATGACTACCCAAAAGCTGGTCCTCCTCTGAGCACCCTCACCAACCAGCTCTCTCTACATTACGCTTGTAACCACGCTGCCACTTCCCAGCACCAAGCTGCATTGTACATCCAATACAATATGTATACAGAGAGCACATTGTGAGTTTCCTTTCTCCATCCCATCCTGAGTGTGAACCAAATAACCCGTACCCCACACAGGATGGAGGAGAAGCCAATCACTCTCCCAGTCTTCAAGCAACATGGAAGACTGGCTTATCCACACAGAAGCAGCTCTCATCGGCTCTACAGCTACTGTCTCTACACCGCAGGTTAGACACCCTAGAGCAGTTCTGCGACTCTAAGCAGACAGCTGCTCCTCTTCCTGCCCCAAGCACCACGTCCTACCGACCCCAACACACCCGTCCTGCCTCAGACGCCGACCCCGGCCCAGCAGTACCCCCTGCCGCGGCCCCTGCTCCTGACGCGGACCCACACACCCCTCTTTTCTCCCTCAGGTACTCCCTGCTACTGTCCTGCACCCTGCTGCTGTCGTGGACCCAGCTGCTGTCACGGACTCTCCTCCGCTCCTACTGACGCAGCCCCTGCTCCTGACCCAGGCCCACACACCCCAGCAGGCGCATCTGACGACTATGTACCTGCCGTGAGGGAAGCACAACATTCATCGCTTCCACACACCCTCTTTCTCCCTCTCTACTCCCACAGATATTGTGTATCTAGACAGTTGTCTCCTCTAGCGGCCGGCTCATCCACGCCCTCGCCGTTATGGCTCACATGTGGCATGCACCGCCCGTTCTGCCTCACATGTGCCATGCAACCCTGCAGACAACAAGTCTCCTACACCGCCTGGAGGGAAGGGGGGAGTATTGTAGTGGATTCCTTCCCTACAAACGCTGTTTGTCACTGAGTAGCCGACCCCATGAATTCCCCAGTGTATGCCTCGTGGTCTAGGTCAACCAGCGCCGCCTTACATGACAGAGGTCAACTATTAAGCCAGGCCTACCTCCACTATATAAGACCTGACCTTGTGGTGACCTACCTCTTTTCTACCTACACCAACCAGCAAGCAACACCTCCTCCTCCTGCCTGGCGGCCCTCGCTCCGGCCGGCGAGCATGGCGACCCACAAGCTGGTCCTCCTCTGAGCATCCTCACCAACCAGCTCTCTCTACATCACGCTTGTAACCACACTGCCACTTTCCAGCACCAAGCTGCACTGTACATCCAATACAATATGTATACAGAGAGCACATTGTGAATTTCCTTTCTTCATCCCATCCTGAGTGTGAACCAAATAATCCGTACCCCACAAGCCAAACCACGGAAAAACTCACTAGCCGAACTACTCTGAGCAACACTACTCATAATGATTACGAGCCTCATTACCACCAAGGATTCATTCATGGCCCTCTGCCTGACTGAGGAAGACGTTGACGCCCTGCTATCTAACGACAGCAAAACCAACTCTCAGGACCATGCTCGGAGCACCCATGTGGACCAGAATTTGCAATTTACAAATGGAAACTGAACTATCACCCCTGGCAGTACAAGTCAAGCAGGTGACAGCCGGTCTCCTCGCCAAAATCTGTAGATCAGATAATCCCACAGCTGCCAAAACGCGAATCAGTGCCTCCTTCCACCTCGACCATAGAGTGCGAGGGGCCACCTGGTCGCATGAGGCAAGCGAGGTCATCCGACACCTGCAAGCAGAAACACTCGTCAAGAACAACCAAGACAAACGAGACATGGATTATGTAGTTCCTCCTCCATGGAGCTCTCCACCAGCCACATTCAAAATTACCGAACTAGGTGATAGCAAAGCCAACCTCCAGGAGGAGGACCTCAAAAGAATAACTCGGGAAGCCATAGCCACCGAGACACCGGCTGATGCAGCATCATACTTCACAGACGGCTCGGTGGTCCCAAAACATCATAGATCCGGAGCGGCCTTCTACACCCAAGGTCAGACCCTCTGATGGAGACTTTCTAATGGCTGCTCCACCCTACAAACAGAGTTGGTAGCAATCTCAAAGGCCCTACAACACGCTGCAACATAACACATAATTCACATGGACTCGAAAACGGCCATGGAGGCGCTGCAACACGGTCAACCAAGAGACAACGTCCACATCATAACCTCGATCCTCACACAGCTACAGGACTTCCAAAGACAAAATCGCCCAGTCATCTTACACTGGATTCCCAGTCATGTAGGGATTGGGGGAAAATGACATGGTAGATGAAGCAGCCAAGGCAGCCACACGTTCTAGAAGCGTACACATTCAAGTTCCAGCAAGCGTGCAACAGATCAAGAACCACCTCAGAAGGACTACCAAGCTCCACATCCCAAAGAGCTTCCTTGACGCATTCAACGCTGGTTCCCAATCAGCCAAATGGTACCTGGCGGCTACAAAAGGGGAACCACCATTCGCGGACAAGAAAACACCAAGACAAACCCAAGTTAGCCTTCATCGACTACGACTAGGGTACAAGTGCTCCTGGCAGACGATCGGAAATGTCGTCAGGGAATGCACCTACTGTCAGGAGCCAGCGGCCAACCCACTGGAACACTATCTCCTCGACTGCGAAGTCACACAAAGTCTCCGAAACAGAATTCAAAACTTCCAAGAAGAACACACAACACCAGCGGCCACTCTAACCCGAAAGGCCCAAACAAACCACATTCACCACCTTCTCCGGGTCATCACACGATACCCACCACCCAGATAGCTTAGGAAGTATCCTGCCCCAGCAAGTGCGGACCCCGGATCAGGGGGCGTGCCACTCCGAAACTGACCACGTCCAAGAGTGGGGGTTGGTGGTAAGCGCTCAATGACCGAGGGTCTGCTCACACTTGCAAACCTGCAGTATCCTTTCACATCTGCAGGTAGGACAACCTCCATCCCCAATCCCAAATCCGGTCTGGCTGCTCCAAGAGCTCCAGCCGGAACCGCCAAACGGGCCGC